AAATCAAGAAAGAGCGTAACAAGGATGTGTATGACAAGACAAACCACTATAGGGAGTAAACCGAGAATTGGATTGACCAACACAAGAACGTGTACCTTTGCGCAATGCAATGGAAATGTCAGTAGTAGAATCAGGCTCAAAAGCAACTGGTGGATCAGAGATGGGACATTGACTGGTGGAGAATCATGCATATCCAATGCAGGCGGCGACTGTACTACCTCACGTTGAACAGACCGGTGCCGTTGATAGGTCTTGTCGGCGAACTGAAAACTAGACGATGACGCTGACGACTCAGGCATACTCACCGGGGGAATAGGCGGTAGTGGAGCCATGGTCGAAGACAGAACATCTTCAGAAGGACCTGCTGTAGAGGAGTAATATGATTGATCCTCGAAAAAGGTTACATCTGCTGAGACATACAATCGCTGACTAACTGGACTATAACACTTGTACCCTTTCTGAGTTTGAGAATACGCAAGAAACACACATTTGTCGGCCCGTAGATCGAGTTTATCATGACCAGGAGCAAGACGATGCACAAAACAGACACACCCAAACACACGAAGTGGTAAAGTAAAAGTGGACTTGTAGGATAGATAGTGGAGAAAGGTATGGCCCCATGAAGCACTGAGGATGGAAGGCGATTTATGAGATGGTATGCTGTAAGAACAGCATGCCCCAAGTACATTTTGGGGAGGTTCACATGAAGAAGAAGGCAATGAGCCACATCCAGGAGATGACGATTTTTTCATTCAGTCACCCCATTTTGTTGGGGGGAATAGGGACAAGAAGTCTGATGCAAAATCCCATGAGATATAAGAAATGATTGAAAACTAGAGGAAATAGCCGTATATTCTTTGCCATTATCAGAACACAAACATTTAATAGAAACATGATATTGATTGAGAATTTCAAAGTAAAACATATGGAAACAAGAAAAACTTCACCACGTCATTCGGGAATAATCATCCACGAATGTAACAAAATATTTATAACCAGACATATCACTGACACGATACGGTCCCCAAACATCATAATGGGCCAACTCAAAAGGACTTAACACACGACACTGGACACGAGAAACGACACCCGATGGTGTTTGCCAAATTGGCAAGCATCACACTGGATAGGACTCATAGATTCTGAAACAGGTGGAAAATGACGTAGAATGTCAGGTGGTGGATGACCCATATGACAATGCATCTGAAATAAGTTGGAACCAGTTTTCTTCTGAGCAGCCGCAGCAATGAGGTCTTTGTTCAGGTAGTACAACCCATTAGACTCATGTCCGCCACCAATCATCCATCCGGTCCTCAGATCCTAAAAGACACAACTAGTGGAAGTAAACGTTACAGAACAATTCAAATCTCTAGCAAGAGAACTAATAGAGAGCAAGTTACGTGGAAAAGCTAGCAAATGGTAAACAGATGAAAGAGTAAGAGAGCGACCCAAGGTTGCATTCCCTTGACCAGTGATATGGGACTGTGAACCATCAGCAAGTGTAACGGAACTAGGTGACATAGAGGTAATATCAAACAACAACTTAGAATTACCGGTCATATGATTTGTGGCACTAGAGTCTACGACCCAGGAAGTGGGCGTAGAAGAGAGTAAACAGGACGGACTACCTGAAGAAGTTTGTGCCAAAGTAGCGGTAGGAGCAGAGGAATCCACCACATGGTTGGGACACACTAAGGAGTCGTACTCGATGCGAGTCAACATAATGGTACTAGGTAACTCCTGTGACTAACTAGGAACCTTCTGTACTGGAGATTCTACTGCTTCGGCATAAGCAGCCTGTGGACGAAGCTTAGGATGTAGGGTATAGCAATAAGGCTCAGTATGGCTAGCTCGCTGACAATGGTTGCAATAACGAGAACTTCCAATACCCCTACCACCATCTCGGCCATGACCTGGAAAAAAGACAGACCTGCCACGACCCCGAGGACCACATCCCCGGCCTCCACGACCACCATAAGACTGAGAGACCATAGCACTCGCTATAGGTGCAGATGATAATGAGTCGGGCACGCATCGAAGGACCCGAGAAAAGACCTCTTCTACTGATGGAAGAGTACCCTGGGAGATAATCTGCTGTCGGAGAGAAGAATAAGTAGGACCAAGCCCCCAGAGAAATAACACAACTCTCATATTCTGTTGGCGCTTGGCCAACTCTCTAATGTCATCAATGACAGGCAAATAAATATCCAGTTTCTCACAAAGGGTGGTGAACCTAGAATAGTAATCAGATGCAGACATGTCTCCAATACGTAGGTCAAATAGCTCCTCCCACACATCACAAACACGGGTCATATTATCACAACCCGAAAACATAAGAGCATATTTGTCCCAAATAGCTTTGGCTGATGTACACTACATAAACTGAGGACTAATCTTGGAATCCATGGTATTCCACAACAATGTCCGAATAGCAGCATCGCCAGAGCGCCAATCATCCTCCTTTTTTTTATCCGTAGGTGGAGACGAAGTCAGATAACTCAGCTGTTTGGTGGCTAAAAGATATGTATTGACTGCCATATACCAAGAAGGGTAATTGGTCCCATTGAGCTTAACAGATGTCAACTTCAGATTAGTGAGACTGGTATCCGTGTTTCCAGAATTGCCAGCCATAATTCAATAATAATATAAAAGTGAACTTAACAGAAATTTGCACCTTGTGCACCAAACGTAATAATTACCACCAATTACCACCAAACACAATAGCACATCAGAACAGAAGCACAAATCAACATAGGGCATTAACAAACCCAATAATCAACCATCGTGAGTAAACTTCAACACCAAGCAGGGACTTTAGTTTCGCAAGAAAGGAACACCTATGCGATATCCCACACTTAGTATTTCTAAGGCAATTGTTTTTCATCAAAGCTTAAGAAAAGTTTCTGCTCTACCATGGAATTCGCGTCTCCTAAGACTGGTGAACCTTGTTCAATGGCTTGTCTATACAATAAGAGGAGCGGCAGGGCTAGAATATCTATTACTGATAGGATTAGGTCTTTTGCAAATGATGAAGATCCTTCTAAAAAAAATATTGGGTCGGCAACAATCCAAATCGTTTCTTCAGAAGAACTCTTTACCTCGAGTATTTGTCATCGGGCGAGAAGCGAGCCTAATAAGCAGATTGTGTAGCGATACCCAAGGGCATTAACAATAAGAGAAGTTACCGCCAACCCGTGCATAATCTCTCTGTTCAGCTCTTGCCCTATGTTTTATCGAGTCACGATGTAGGGACTCACGCAAGACGGGCGCCAGTGTCAAGCGTCGGGCGACGCTGGTCGACGATGCTTCGCCAGATCTAGATGTCAGGCGACACTGGGTAGGGTCGGGTGACGCCGGATCTGGGCTACGTCGAGCAACGCCAGGTGGCGTCGGGCAACATTGTCCGCTCTGGATCTAGGGTTGGGCGGCGTCGAGCAACGACGGGTGGCATAGAGCAACGCCGGGTGCCGTCAGGCAACGCCGACCGCTCTAGACCTAGGTTTTTTTTTTTTTTTTTTTACCGATAGCAGAGAAGGATTTTGGTGACGATCGTAAGCTCTGACACCATGATGAAAACATAATCGTCATTCATTTTTTTCAGATTATATCATCTCTATGTATATAGTGAGCATTAGGACTCACTAATTATGGAGAAGACTAAACTACCCTTTCAACAATATAGTTCAGCGTTGTCCAACAATAGTTTAGAGACATCAGGAGGCAGAAGCTGTTTACTCTAGTCAAGACGGCAAATTCTTCAAAACATTAAAGCCGAGACGGCTCAGCGTAACCTGTCCTTTCTAACGTTGGTTTCAAACTAAAGCGACAAATGTCTCCTCCTATACATTCAGATTCAGTGCGTCTTAGATCTAGCACATATAACTATTTTTTTCTTTTTTGGGCACTAAGCACATATGACCATCAATGAGACCAAAGTACGAAAATGTTTTGGTTATTCTTTTTCGTTTCACTTTGAAAAGCATGATCAGTGCCATCCTCCTCTTAGTAGAGATATACAGTTTCAGAGTCGAGGCCAGATGCATCACTTAAATTGTAGGAGAACAGGTCAACATTGACGCATGCTCATAATCACTTCGGTCTTACATTTAGAACTCAGCAAACTGCAAGCACATTGAATTTGACAACAATGAATCAACTCATGAACACATTCAACAGGCCTCACTCATGCGTCCATGTTTGAAAAATCAGCTCATCAACTCATACAAAGGGTACAGATCCACATCTTTTTTTGATGTCATACATGGTTATGTTGCAGTTTATAGAGCCAACATGAGTGCATGGTTTACCAGGGAGAACTTCAGCAACAAGGTTTTCTTTCCCTTCTATGTTTCTGGTAAGAAAGTTTTATTCCAACAGATCTTTGTCAATTACACTGCACGAAGAAAGGGAGTTGGAAAAATCAAAAGCTCCCGCCGGATTTTTCAGTTTACAATCCCATTTGCATAAACCAGCAGCTACATTACAAACTCTATATATCCAAGAACACTACTATTCCAATATTGATACAAGGTAAATCTCTGACTTAGCATCCAGAGTTCATCTGTAAATTTCCCAAAGAATGAGTCATTGCTCGAGTTGATGACAATGACAACTCAGTTTCGTCCTCTTTTAAGCATACTCCGATCCATCCTTTCAAGCCACATGCTAAAGTGATGACAATGATAACTCGGTTCAGTCCTCTTACTGATCTTCTGTTTCTGACTTTCCTGATTTTTTTTCCTTCTTGGATTAGAACAAGAAAGTTCTTCCCTATTGCCCTTTTATTTTCCAACAAAACTGTTCCTATGAAAATCACACCCTTAACCACTTGCCTTTGAGAGGAGCATCGGAGTAATGCCAAGGTTCCAACTTTGAAACACCCATTCCAGATTTTAACTATTGACACGTGAGCCAAAAATGCATCTTTAGAACAGATGCATGTTGGTAAGTATGATGCACAATACACCTAATGATAAAAGACAGGAGCGGTTCAAGCAATCTAGGAGTGAAAGCAAGCAATTTCTTAAGCAAAGAAACTAGAAAATGGTTCGGCCATAGCCATTTTCTTTCATAATAATCAGCAATATAACCATAGAAACCCATCAAACATCGATTTACCGTTATAATTGGGAGGTAAAAAAGTACATCAGCTCCTGAGATCATGTCTCAATAGATGGTTTCTGCTCCAACACATGTAGGCAATAGCAGCAAGCAAGACAAAGCCTTCATGCCAGTGATACGACAGCAAGGCGGTTGCCGTTTGTGGACCAGGAGAACTTCAGTTCTCTCTAAATACCACAAATAGAACACTCCGCCCGAACTGAACTGACCAGGACAAATGAACGGAACAAAAAATAACTGAGGATTTAGTCTTCTAAATAACATAGTCAGAGCATTCAGAAATATGTGAAGTTTGGTCCATGTTGAAGCTGGGCAACTTCTCGAGCTCAGTTGGGTTCTCTTTCCCTCCAACCAACCTTGCCGGGTTACCAACGGCAGTAGTTCTGGGCGGCACGTCCTTCAACACAACTGACCCCGCACCGATCTTAGCTCCGTCACCGATCCTAATGTTCCCGAGAATGCAAGTCCCCGCGCCTATCAAGACCCCATCTCCAATTTTGGGGTGCCTATCACCGGAGACTTTACCAGTGCCTCCCAAGGTCACATTGTGCAAAATGGACACGTCGTTCCCGATCACTGCAGTCTCGCCGACCACCACTCCAGCGGCATGATCGACCAGTATCCCCCGCCCGATCCTCGCGCCGGGATGGATGTCCACTCCAAACACCTCGGACACCCTGTTCTGCAACAAGTATGCTAGACTCTCCCTTCCTTGTGACCACAGTTTATGAGCCACCCTGTGGGATTGGCATGCCAAAAACCCTTTGAAGTTAAGAAAGCAATGGATGTAAGTCTTGCAGGCAGGGTCCCTCTGCTTCACCGCTCTCAAATCAGCCCGGACAGCACTCGTGATTTCAGGGTCATCGTCGAAGACACCCTTGAAAAGATCGAAAAGGGTTCGCCTACAAATGCTCGAATTGCTCAATTTAACCGAGAGATGATTCGCCAGAGCACTCTCCAACGAGCTGTAACTCATAATCGAGTCCTGATAGTAATTCCACAAGATGGTTTCTTGACAGGCGTCGCAAAAAGCCTCATCTTGCATCACACGCCACAAATCATCTTCCCCTTCCCTCGCATCGAGGGCTTCGGCGGACGCGGGGGAGGACGAGGACGAGGCAAGGCGATCCCGGAAACCGGGTCGGCAGCATGTAGCGAACTTGCGCGATAGATCGTCGCCTTGGGACCTGTTGGGATCGCGGGAAAGCTGGCAACTTTCTCTCCTGGGAGCGTCTATGCAAGCGGCCATTGAATCTGAGGAACCCGTGAAGTTGCGATGGTTGCTCAAGGTCGGCGATGTCCGAGAAAGAGACGAAGAAGAAGAAGAAGAAGATGATTATGAGGATGATGGTGGTGGTGGGAAATGGAAGAAACGGTCGTATTTTATAGCGGCCCAAGAGAGAGTTCGAGGAAGCTGGGATGTTCTCGGGAAACGTCAATTTCGGTAAATTTAAAACCAGAGGAATTTAATATTTGCAGGATTTCCATTACTAAAATGGATGCAAGAAAACGGGGCAGATATTAAATTCCTTTGGATAAAAATTTTACTGTGGTGACGACGGTCGGGAGCTATAGGGGATTGATCGTCGGCGATGAGTCGATTGATGATGGCGGTAGAGGTCGAGCAGTTGCCCGAATTTCGATGAGCAACTTCGGTTTTTTTTCCAAGAATTAAGCAATTTTTTTTCGAAACTTGGATGTACATAACTGGTGAAACTATGGAAAAGAAGCGTTACGATTATTTTATGTTTATTCTCTTGCGAAATGAGTGTGACTCTTTCCCTTTTTAAGGAAGTGTCGTGTTAGTGGCAAGCCACTTGTAGAACTCTAATTAGGAATGTTTCTTTAGCAGCCGTGGAAATGTCGAGATCTTTCTTTTGCATGCATAGAGATCAATCGTGAAAATTTTATCACATTTCTAATGGTGCGTGTATATATATATTTGAATATATATATATATATATATAAGGAAATGTCATTTCCTCTTTAAATTATGAATGAAAGCCTAACAGTGAATGGATTATGCAATCAAATTGGATTTGATTCTCTATTGAACCAGCTGAACTTGTGGTCCGACGTTCAACGTCCTTTTTTTCTTTCGCTCGAAACCGGTCCATCTTGAAGGCAATATAGTTTCCACCACAAGTTTTATACTTCAAAAATAAATAAAGTTTTGAAAAAGATCGAAAAATCAGCATGACACTCAATAAATTATGTGCCTCATATTTTTCAAGATAATAAAAAAAAAAACCTTGATAATCCATATAGAAAGAGTGTACTATGAGTCTATGACCACATAATGTGTGTATTATGAAGTTTGAATAAAATAATTGGCTTTTTGACTTTTTTTTTATTTACTTGATAATCATGCGTTTGGTCCCTCCCGAGAACCTCCTTGTACTTTCGACTTTTTCATTAGATCAAGAAAATTCCTTTTTCGCTATCAAGGTTTGACGGGTGAATTCTCCAAAAAATCCCAAACTTTTTTTTGTCTAAGAAAAAATTCAAAATTTTAAGTTCAATCTCAAATCTACCCCGAATTTTATTTTATGTAAAAAGAATCATCAAATTTCAATTTATTTTCAAAAATATACTCTCGTGATCCAGTCCTAACTTGATGTGGCACTTCCACGTCGATAACAAATCCTCATCAGCAAAGTAATGGGGCGATAGATACAGACCGACGTCGCATTTTTACTTCGATGACAAATCAAACCAAATAAAAATTGTTGAAATTCTCCAAAATAAAATCATTTTAGGATATAAAAGTTAGTGACGATAACAAATCCACCAAAAAAAAAATTAATTTAAAAAATAAACCTAACTTTTAGGTTTAGTCCAAATTTGCTCTAAACTTTTTTATCTAAAAAAAAAGCCGCATTACTTTGTTGACGTGGATTTGTTATCGACGTGGAAGTGCCACGTCAAGTTGGGACTGGATCATGGGGGTATATTTTTGAAAATAAATTGAATTTTGGTGATATTTTTTTACACAACAAAATTCGGAGCAGATTTGGGACTGGACTTAAAATTTAGGATTTTTTTTGAAATTAAAAAAATCGGGGGAGATTTGAGACTGGATCTAAAGTTTGAGATTTTTTTAAGATAAAAAAAAGTTCGGAGCAGATTTGAAATTTGACTTCAAGTTGGAGGTTTTTTAGGAAATTAGATCAGGTATGATTCCGATGAAGTTTTATGTTAAACTGAAGACCAGACGTACCATTAATTCCAGGTCAAATTAGCTGTGCAATTGGCAGATGTTGAAATCAGCGAATTCGTTCTCCGTACAAGTACCATTGGTATTTCGAGATATGAAATATTATCCTTTTAGAGTTATTTCAAAACTATCCTCGAGCTTTTCCTTCCTCTAATTTTGAAGCACACAATGAGCACCTGTATCTTGAATCCCTAAAAAATTTTGGCATGTCATGTTCGCAAAACCCGCCTTTTACGTCCTTTAGGTAGAGTGGAGGATGAGAAGACAATAGGTACATCGTCGTAATTTTAGATGTAAACCATAGGTTTTTGAAATTTCGAGTCACAAAATGAAGAGTTTTCAAAGTAGTTGTTTAAAGTGTATACGTGAAACTTATCCTATCAATCAATCCTAGGATCGATTTCAGAGTTTACTCGAGAACCAGCCAATTTCTTTTTTTTTTCTTCCTTTTTTTTGTTTCTTTTTTAGTTAGACAAAATATTTGACCAAATGAAAAGGTTAGGCAAAATGGAAATGAACTCAATAACAGAAATTCTCATTTGTCAATAACAATAAACCATAAAAGATGAACACGTAAAACAAAATAAATAATAAAAAGTTCAAAACACGTAACCTCAGTTCATTGGTTCTAGATTTAGTAGAACCTAGAAATCGGGAACCGAGCCGCATAGTATCGATTCTAATTCTTTTGGAATCGGTAACCGCGGAACTTGGAACCGCACCGAATTTTATGATAGGTTCGTTTTAGTTCCCAATTCTACCTCGAGTCCATGCTCACCATTAATCTCAATAAAACTCCATTCCATTTTTTTAAAAAAAGAAAACCCAAAAGATAGAAAAGAGAAAAAGCAGCGGAGGTAAAGCCAAAGGCGGCGCGTCGTCCCATCAACCGCGCGGGACCCGAACCCGACGCACCGGACCCCACAATCCAGTCAAACGACGTGGGACTATGCAGCAACGACGGCGACTGGTGTCTCGCCGTGAGGCTATCGCTGACGTGCCGCTCCTCCATTGGTTGGATAGCGTCCCCCTCGAGGGCGTGGGATCAGAGAAGAGAGACGCGTTTTGACCGTCCACCGTGAATCCTGGGGGGCGGGGGCCCCTCAATTATTGCTCCCACCCCCCGCCCCCGAAGCCTCCCATGTTTATGTAACGCCTGACGTAATTTCCAGCGAAGAACTCCGGCATTTCTTCGTGGGCCCCCCCCCCCAACAACCAGCGCCGCCCGTCCGTCGTAGCTGCTCCCCCTGTGGACCGCTCGCTCCGTCGGAGGGCCCACGTGTCAGGGAAAACTTTGACTCGAGCACAGTTAAATGATTAAAAAGTAACCTTAAACCTTTTTAATACTTGATATAAATTCGATCCTCAACCTTTTAATCTAATCAATTTGATTCCAATCGTTTTGATAATTTATCCGGCCAATTTTAACGTAACTGTTTAGTCAGCGCTGATCTCCTACGTGGTACGGCCGACGATGATGTTGATAAAAATTGCAAAGATTGGGGCGGTCAGCGTTGACTAAACCGCTGCATCAGGGATTTTTTGGCAAAAATTGGCCGAAAGGATTAAATGGGCAAATCATTAAAAGGTTTGGGTATAAATTGTTAAATTGGCAAAACGTTTAGGATTAAAGTGGCACCATTGAAAAGTTTTTGACTAAATTGGCCAAATTGAAAGTTTTAGGACTGAATTGGTACAATTGCAATGATTTATCATTATTTTTTGGTAATTTCCCCTTTTCAATCTTAAAAAGTATCGATTATGTATAATATTAAAAACATTAGCGAATTGAAAAATGAAAGTTTCGACAATTGTCTACTTAACGAATATGCATGTAAGTCTCGTTACTGAAATCTTACTTAAATGAGTAAATACCTTAAAATTAAGAAACGAACCCAGCATATCATTTAATTTTACGCACCCAATCGGGATTTTCAGCTTTCGTTTTTCCTTTTTGCCCCCTTTGAGAGTGCCAGCTTTATTCTCGTGGGTGTTTCCGGTCCATGTCAATCTCTGTCATATGAGCTATTAGATAATGCGAGTCCCGAAAAAGTATCTAATAATCGCTGTTTTGAGGTCAAATCCTTTGAAAATGTGAGGTAAGAGATGTTCCCCCGTCGAATATCATCCTGTTTGGCCAAGCTTAATGTTTAAAACTTCTAGGGAGAGGGAAAGATTTAACGGGCACATAATACATACAATAAAATAAAATATAAGTATTAATATTTGGGTAATGACGATTCGAAGTTCACTTTTGCCTCAATTATCACCGAAATAATCAAAGCGATTAAAATAATGCACACGACCAACAGAAGCGAACTCATGCGGAGCAATAATCGCGTAAACGATTGGAGCGCTTTTCAAATAATGACACGGATACCAAGAAACCTTGTACGACAAGGAAACATGAAACTTCCACACGATTCAACTTGACTTTGATGCTTCGACCCTCTACCCCTCCCGATCTTTGGAGTCTTACCACTTGCCTTGATGCTTTGCCGTTGTACTCGCAAGCTAGGACTTAAAATATAAATGAATATCGTTATTCTTTTAAAAAAAAAATTGACTTTGAAATACGTGTGGTTTTATATTGCCAGTCCTACGTGATGCTAACCTATATGCACACGTCAGTGTCCCCTCAACAACCCAAATCCACCACGAATTTTTTTATTTAATCGATCAAATTAGGGGTGTGCGAAAAAAGAGAAAATCGCCCGGAACCAAACCAGTCGGGAATCGGCGGCTCTCGTGAATACTGATCCGATTCCCGATTCCAATTTATTAAAACTAGTGAGTACCTGGTCCAATTTCCGATTTCAAACGTGAAACCGCCTATTCGGATCGGACCGATAATTGTGTGTATATATGCACATGGTTCAAAATGTTAAGAATTCAAGTGTGTTTCATGTCATTTACCAGATAGTTAATTACCCGCTCTATTTAATGTGAAAACAAAGTCGTGATGTCTTGTATTCGATTCCTTAAATTTTTCTCGCCAACCCATTAAAAAATTCTCTCTTTTAGTTGTGATGGTTGGAGAACACCATCGAGCGGAAGAGACCCCATGTCACTCCAGCGGCGAAAGCGGCAGTGAGAGATGGGCGTTGCCCACATCTTGGCATCCCAGCTACTTCATCCCGCTCGAAGCACGTGAGGGACATGGAGAACACAAGGGGTGTATAACATGTTTCGAG